GGGTGGGTGGATGGATGGATGGATGGATGGATGGATGGATGGATGGATGGATGGATGATGGGTGTGTAGATTTCATGTTTTCTTTTCAAGAGGATTCTAACGAAAATTCTTGCCACGAGTTCTAAAGGAAAGGGAGAGGGCGAGAGACCATGGGCCCGATCCTGCCCAAGTGAAACCTTTCCAAACGCCGCTGTTTTCGGCAGAGGAGAGGGAGGCGTCGGCAGACTCTCTCCCTGCGGAACGAGCGGGGCTGGTTCACAGGGTTTCACCTGGGTTGGTCCCCCGCTGGAGCAGGCGGGTGGGAGCCTTTGGGAACCGCCGCCCCTGCCCTGCCCGTTTGGGCGACTCGGTGCTTATTTGGGCGGGGCGAGGTCCTCCGGAACACCCTTCCTCCTCCTCCTCGTCTGGCGTTCGTCAGGCCCGGGGCATTCGGACCGCCTCGACGCGGGTTTGATTTGAGCCCCTTCGGCTCTGCATTTGTCAGACTGCCGGCGGCTTCCTCGGGAGCCGCCGGCCTCACAGGACTCCGCGGAAGATCGACTGCCTTCCGAGGAAACGGTGCCGGCTCAGAGCCCAGGCCGGCTGTCCTTGGCAAACGACCGCCCCTTGTAAAAGAAAGGCTTGGGCTCCGGGACCCGGTTCTGATGAAATCTGGGACGCCGAGAGAGTCGGCGTGGAGCCCGCGAAGGAGTCCGGCCTGCCGGCCAGCCCCTCCACTCGCCGCCCCCTGCAGCCACTGCCCGGAGAGGCCCGCCCGCCGATCCGGTCGCGGGCCGTTCCCGCGGACTCCGAGAGAGCAACTGAAGACAGTCTCCTCCCCACCCCGACAGTAGAGAGATTAAAAGCATTCGGGGCAACGGAGGGCCCGGCCCGGCTCCTCGCCGACGCCGAGGGGACTCTGGGGGAAGGAGGCCCTCAGCGACAGCGAGGGAGACCGAACGGCAGGCGCTGCGGGTCGCAGGGCGGACACACGTCGGAAAACGCCGCCTCCCTCCCTGTGAGACACGTGTCCCGTAATCTGGAGGGTTCACACTGTACCTTCCTTTCAAGCACCACCTTTTCCTGACACGCTAACGCGCGGCGATGTTCTTCGTAGGCCAAATGCCGGAACCCCCCCCCCCAAAAAAAATCTGCGAGAGATCGGTGGGAGGGAGCAGGAGGGCGGGACGAGCCTGCGCTCCACAGGAACCGATCTCAAGGAAGCGACGACGCCCCGGGGGCCAACAGCCCGGGAGTCCCCCCAACGAACACCCAGGCAGAATTTACACGAGGGCGGGACCCCCGCGCCACCGGGGCAGGTTGTCCAGACTGGACGGCCTGTGCGTGAGCGCGCGCGCGGGGCCCCAAGTTCCGCCTGCCCGAGCCCCCCCCCCCCCCGTCTACCGGCCTGACTTCCAAGGGGACCCTCCCCCGACGTGAGAGGAGAAGCCTGGGCCGCCACCTCCCAGAGCAGGCCCAGAGGAGGGGCCGGTGGCAAGTGGACGTCCGTCGACTCCCGCGTGGCCCCGGGACCAGACCGGCGCGCGCCTTGCAACCCGCCCCCTCCCTCCCCCCCCAACCGGCTGCAGAGGCCTGGCGCCCCCCCTCCTCCCCGGAGAGTGTCTCTCGGGCACTTGGAACCCCCCGAGAGGCTAGAGAGGCCTTTCTCGCGAGTTCGGGGTGGCCAAGTCGGGTAATCCGGAGCGAAGAATGTCCCTTCCAAGACAACCCATCCAAGTCGCCTCCGGGCGGGTGGAGGAGAGGCACCCGGCCGCCTCCTCGGCGCTCCCCGCGCGCGGGGCTCTCTCTGGTGGCCACGCTTGTCCGGAGCGAAGGGAAAAGCCCGGGAGCGGGGTGGTGGTGGTGGGGAGATGAACGAAGTTCTCGCCCGTCTCTCCCACCGCCCCAGCCCGCGCCGATGGCCGGCTCCCTCCCTGCCCATTGTCCCCCAGCCGAGCAGCGGCGTCGGGTCTGGGTTCACCCGGCGGCGGCGGCGGGGTGGGTGGGGGGATCTCGTCGTTGTTCGGACGGGACACCCGGTTGGACAGCTGCGAAATCGTCTCGACAGGTTGTCGCGATCGGCGGCGGAGGCGTCTCTGACAGCAGCCCCCCGCCGAACATCAACGCCCCCCCCGTCCCCCGCCGGCCGGCCGGGCCTGCCTGGGGGG